TTTAGGGCCCTTTGGCTCAGAGGGCTTCTACGGGGGCTCGATGCTCAGAAGCCCTAAACCCTAAACCCTAAACCCTAAACCCTGAACCCTAAACCCTAAACCCTAAACCCTTCGAGGGTGCTGGTTTTGGGTGGCCGAGGTTTCTCATGGACTTCTTCCTGGTGATAGTGGGCATCTTCGGTCTGGTGATCATCCCAAGCTTCGGGCAGAGCCCTTCGGCTTTCCCTAGACCCTAAACCCTAAACCCTAAACCCCAAAAAACATCCTAAAAACCCTAAACTCCCTCTAAACCCTAAAATGCACGAACCTTGAAAGCCCTAAAAGCCCTAAACCCTCAAAAACCCTAAACAACACTGCAAAAAAGAAGCCTAAACCCCTCACAAAACACCCTAAAGAACCCTCAAAGCCCTATGTTCAGGGTTTTGGAAGTCACAGCTTTTTTTGGCTTTGAGGGGCGCTGGGGATGCAGGCTTCAAGGGTTTAGGGTTTAGGGTTTAGGGACAGAGCCCATATGTACACTATACAGAAGAAGGGCCCATGCTTCGGGATCCAGTTAAACAAGGGTAAGGACCATAGCAAGGGTCCATGGTTCCGACATTTAGGGTTTAGGGTTTAGGGTTTAGTGTTTAGGGTTTAGGGTTTAGGGTGTACGGTTTAGGGTTTAGGGGAGTCCTTGTAGTGTTTAGGGTCTGGGGCTATAGCACTTGGGGTTTAGGGCCTGGGGTTTAGGGTTTACAGCTTAGGGTTAGGGTTTAGGGTTTAGAGTTTAGGAGTGTACGATCCAATCTCATGGCTCCCAAGTTTGAGGGTTTGGTGTCAAGAGCGATTTAGGGTTTTGGGCTTACGGTTTGGGGGTTTAGGGTTCCATCAGTCCGAATGGGTGTCTGGCGGCAGGTTCCTCCTTCTGCTCTTTATTTCGTTCTCTGCGCGTTGTCGTCGGGCCGTGCTCACATTTTCATGGGGGGAAGGGGGAGGAGCGACGGGGAGAGGCATCTGCACTCATTTTCGCTGGTTTCGCGCGGTCTTTGCTGCACGCGAGCACTTATGCTGCTTAGGCAACGAAGCATAAGTAGTTTACATACGAACCGTGCATATATCAATATATGTATATACATACATACATACCCTCAGCCCATCCATATACATACATACAAACCCTCAGCCCTAAACCCTACTATACCCTAAACCCTACACCCGACACTTTAAATTAGGGACCTCGCCCCAAGACTCCTCCACCCCTAACTCCAGACAACTCTCAAAGAACCCGATTCAAGGAACATCCCAAGTCAGCGCAGGATCTATTATGATGTAGAGAGAAGCCTAAAACTCCTAAACCCCTAAACTCCGGTACGCCATGGCATGTCTAGCATGTCAAGGCTCTCCGGGAATCGCGTGAAAGGTGGTGCGGGTACCATAACGAGACTGTTGGTACAGCAGCAAAGAGCTGGCAAAAATCTGGCCTGTTCATGCACGCAGACTTGTTTTGCAGGCACGTGAAGCAGGTGATTCACATACTTCGCTTGCGCTCCAAAAAGAGATTATTTGTGGTTCTAATCCGCACGCAGTTCATGCCTCAGCAGCTGCAAGCGCCTCTGGTAGCCTTGATAGGCCCTGCGTTGACGTCAGCTGATGTGGATTTGCTGGCAGCCCCGCTCTGTTGCTTCCATTGGCCGGCACTGGACACGTTAACCCTCGTTTCATGACAGTGCTTTACGATTTCCTTCAACATTCGCAGATTGTGTCCATTGCCCCTGCTTCGGTGTCTCTGGTTGAGATGTATCTCATTTTTGTTCGGCGCACGGGCGGGGTGACGCCAGTGAACATAGCCAACTTGAGAACGGGAATGCTCCCACCATCACAAAAGAACCGTAAGGTACTGTCTGCCTGGGTACATGAAACTGAATGTCACAGCCTTCAGCTATGTCGTCCCAATCTGGGGCACAGTTGAAAGATTTTCCCCATGCTACCAAAGCGATTGGCATCCGCGCAGGGTTTGACTTCAACCTTCGTCGCATGCAGTCTTTGAGGTTTGCAGGAGTATCCGGGCCGGTACAGTCAGTACAGTTACGCGAAATCAGGCATCAAGTTTTTGCTATCTTTGATAAAGGGTCTTTCTAAAGCTACGAAAAGCCCCTTCGCTCCTAGCAAAGAGGCAATTCCATGTGATGTCCCGATTGTCCATCCCACTGAAGTATGGAACCGATACATACGATCCCAACATGTTAAACGACGTGCGAATTCGTTCATTTGTCCTAAGTCTCCGCTAGAGATCTTTGCGTGCCTCTCGCATGCATCGTCGGCAGGACCACTTGCAGAATCCCCTAAACCCCTGATACCCTTAAACCCTTAAACCCTAAACCCCTAAACCTTAGGCTCTCTTGCCGGCTTCGAAAAACTCCTGGTCGTGAGGGGCTTGCGTCTTCTGAGGCTGGTGCGCACCTCGGAGACATCAGCCCTAGGTAAGCCCTATGGGGTTTCTGTTGTAGGGCTTTAGGGCTTGAGGCTTTAGGGTTGCGTTTGTTTTGGGCGTGGTTGTTTTTTTGGGGTTTATTTCTTTCGTTTTTGTTGTTTTTTTTGGGGGGGCAACTTTGCAACAGGCATCCTTGTTCTTCGTGTTTAGGTTGTTGTGGTGTGCGGGGTTCTTTGGGGGGGGTTATGGGAGGGGGCTGTGGGGCTTATGAGAGTTTGTGGGCGGGTTTAAGGGGGTTGTAGGGGTGTAGGGCGTCGGGAAGGTTTCTAGTCTAGTGCTGAGCTAGGATTCAAAGTTTTTGCTTTCAACCCTAAACCCTATACCCTATACCCTAAACCCTAGTCTTTAAACCCTAAACCTTGGTCTTTCTGTTGCCAGCATGTTAGGGTTTAGGCTTTCAGGGTGTAGGCTTCAAAGCAGGCTCTGACCACTTGACGCATCGAAGTGTCAAGGTCACCAGCCTCGGCTCAAACAAACTTCCGGTTCCGGAGCTTCGTTGGGGGGCTTTAGGGTTTAGGGTTTAGGGTTTAGGGTTTAGGGCTTAGGGTTTAGGGTTCTTTGTGGATTAGAGAAGCTTAGAACCCCGATGTTGCCTGCGCGAGGGACCCTAAACCCTAAACCCTAAAACCCTAAAACCCCTAAGAACCCTAAAACCCTAAAATCCTAAAACCCTGAAACCCTAAACCCCAAACCCTAAACCCTAAACCCTTCAAGAACCCTAAAACCCGAAACCCCAAACCCTAAACCCTAAACCCTAAACTCTGTCACGGGGTCGGGGGAGCGAAGTCGTGGCCCCGACTCGCTGGGCAACCCGAAGTAATGCCTTGGCTGAGGGTTTTAGGCTTCTTAGGTTTTTTTTGGTGCTTTTTGGTGCTCTTAGGGTTTTTTAGGGTTTTTAGTGTTTTCGTGGTTTTAGGGTTGAGGGCTTTTAGGGTCTAAGGTTTAGGGTTCAGTCATACGGGCCTAGACCCAAACCCTAAATCCTAAATCCTAAACCGCTGAAACCTGGGGTTTAGAAAGGCCTGGATCTAGATCTAAACCCTCAACCCTAAACCCTAAACCTAGACTGGGTCTCTTCAGCATGTCATGCTGAAGTTCATGTTCGAGGAGAGTTTGTTGGCGGTTCAAAGCGTTTTCGACTGATTTTGTCGGTGTAGAGGGCCCAACACCAGCAACTCGAGCATGATTCATGGGTTCCCCTGCTACCGCCCTGTTATACTACCCTCCCCCCCCCCCTCCGCCCCTAGGTTCCCCCCAAAAATTAAGGCTAAATGGGGATAATTAAGCATAATTAAGGTTATTTAAGGGGGGTATACTTTGAGCGCGGTAGTAGGGGAACCCCCTAAACCCTAAACCCTGAACCCATGGATCATCAGCCATCGGCAGAAGAGGAGTGCTTTCCTTCGGGAGTGCAGTGGCATCGCTTTAGAACTTTCCAGATTATATAGGCATTGTTCGCGCCCGCCAGTCCCAATCTTGACACCCCAAACCCTAAACCCTAAACCCTAACCCCTAACCCCTAAACCCCTGACCCCTAACCCCTAAACCCCAACCCCCTAAACCCCAAACACATGCGTCTGGGCCAAACTAAAGTAGTCGTTGGGACATACGGGCGAACAGCGGAGTCCCACGCTGAAGTCTGAGTCCAAACTTTCGAGTGCCTGGCTGACTGTTTAGGGTTTAGGGTTTAGGGTTTAGGGTTTAGGGTTTACAGGGTTTAGGGTTTAGGGTTTAGGGCTTAGTTGCGCTGGTTTTTCTGCGGCGCTGAAATCCCTAAGCCCGGAACCACCACTTATCCCTGTTTATGCGACGAAGCTGGTCAACGCGCAGGTAGCCCGATGAGCCAGGATTTCTGGCTCTCCGCGTTGGCTCCATGTAGGCTTTGCGTAACTTTACTGGGAGTTCGGCATGTCCCCTCAAAAGGTCATATATAATCCCTAGTTTCCTTCTGGGTTCTTGCGAAGTGCCAGTAAATTCTCGGGTGGCGATGGGGTTTACGAAGCCTTTCCTTTTTCGCCGTAGTACGAGGCACCATTAAATCTAGAACATCTGAGAATCAAAGGCTATAAACCATCGTCCCCTGGACCTAGCCAAGCCTTTCTGCTGGAGATCTGCGTGCAAAACGGCAACGAAGTGATTGCTCCAGCCTCGTTTCTGCGCAGATTGCAACCGTGCCCGTAACTCGACGCTTCATGCCCTACGGCTGACGTTTTTTGTCAACATAGTTCTATGACCTAGAACTTGCGAGGCGGCATGCGCAGGAGGGCAGGTGGCCACTTGCAGGTGCTTACGCTTTTGGCGCAACGTCGAGTTCTGATTTCAGCAAGCCGAAAGACGAGAGAAGCCGCGTGCAAAGCTGCAACAGTTCGGTTTTGTAGACACTGACACAGACCCCAGGACCCAGAGTAGGCCCTCATTTCCTATTTTAGGATGTAGGGTCCCTGGTAATCTCCCCCAAAACAAAAAGAGCAGCCTATGTATTCCTAGGCTACTCTTGAGTCTAGGACCAATCATTTTGTTTGCACCGCGCATGCTGCAACTCTTGCTTTGCCAGGCGAACCGAAGCCCCCCCAAAGCCAAAAGCATGCAATGAAGATCCCGGTTCAGGGCGCCCTAAACCCTAAACCCCAAACCCCAAAACTGCCAAAATCACTTTGTGGCACCCCAATTCCCCCCCCCCCCCCCGCAAGAATGCTTTGCTGCCTGGGTGACAAGGAGCCCTTCGAATGGTCAGTCACTTCAAAGTCATGTGGCGCCTGGTCCACAGTCGCTTGTCTACAGGGTTTAGGGTTTAGGGTTTAGGGTTTAGGGTTTAGGGTTTAGGGTTTAGGGTTTAGGTTTAGGGTTTAGGGTTTAGGGTTTAGGGTTTAGGGTTTAGGGTTTAGGGTTTAGGGTTTAGGGTTTAGGGTTTAGGGTTTAGGGTTTAGGTTCAGGCTTTCGGGTTTAGGGTTTAGGGAGCCAAATCCTTGCAGTTATTTCTGGGTTGTCTGGCAAGTGCCACCCTTGTGAAGAAGGTTTGTTTCCACGGCTCACGCGGTGAAGTGCACCCCCTAAACTTTAAACCCTGAACCCTGAACCCTAAACCCTAAACCCTAAAGGGGTTTAAGGGCCGAAAACGTTGGACAGACGAGGCTTGCTCACAGCTGGGCAGACGATGCTCTCAACGACGGCGCTGATTATGCCCCTTGCGCATACGGCTGGGTTTAGGCTCAACCCTAAACCCTAAACCCTAAACCCTAAACCCTAAACCCTAAACCCTAAACCCTAAACCCTAAACCCTAAACCCTAAACCCTAAACCCTAAGTTTAGGGTATAGGGTTGGAGTCGCACACAGCCTGATACCCCATAATTACATATGCTTGAATGGTATTATACATCTGCTTACGAATAATATAGTCTAAGGAACCCTAGATCCTGAACTCAAACCTAAACCCTAAACCCTAAACCCTAAACCCTAAACCCTAAACCCTAAACCCTAAACCCTAAACCCTAAACCCTAAACCCTAAACCCTAAACCCCAGTGCAGTTTCAGTCAAGTTCCTCAGTTCAGGGGCATGGCTCTCAAAGGGCTTTGGGGGCAAGAGCCGGCAGTTTGAAAAGCCCTACCTAGACCGGCTCAAACTCCGGCGTGTGGCTTGTAACTGGGGTTTGGGGTTTAGGGTTCAGGGTTCAGGGTTTAGGGTTTAGGGTTTGGGGTTTAGGGTTTAGGGTTGTGTTTCGGGTTGTTCTTATAGCATGGGTTAGGTCTTTTGGAGGCATCCAAGAGGGTGCCCCTCCCCTCTGTTTTTTGGAAATACCCGGATGTCTGGAAGTCTAGCTGCATGGGAATCGGTAGCCCTAAACCCTAAACCCGAAACCCTAAACCGTAAACCCTAAACTCCTGTGGTGTGGGTTTAGAGGATTACGGTTAGAATCTTAGGTCGCTGGACTTGCGGGCTTTTTACACCCCAAGCTTCGGGGTTTCGGGTGTAGGCTTCGGGTCTCCCTAAACCCCCTAAAGCCCTAAGCCCCTAAAACCCGAAAACGGATTCGGTTGGTTCGGGAGTTGAAGGTTGCGTCATTTTGGAATGCAGAGGGGTCAGAGCTTTTTAGGGTGTAGAGTTTAGGGTTTAGATCTTGTCTCTTCCTAGAGCTTAAAACACCACCTGGCATTGTTTAACACAACCTCCACCTAGAACATCCTAAACCCCCCGAAACCCCCAAACCCAAACCCTAATCCCATAAACCCCCAAACCCCTGACTCAATCATAGAGATAGCAGGGGAAAGAGCAGAGCAGAGGGCGAGGGGGGGGGGGGGGGGGTGCAAGGCGGGCTGTTTTCGCTGAATGAGGAATAAGGGTTTGGTGGTTTAGAGAAAGGGTGTTGTTGCTCAGGCCTAAATTTCAGGTTCAGTCCCTTACTTAGTGACTGGGGAGATAACCTTTAACCTTATTGGTTGTATAGAATCCTACAATATAAAACAGGTTAGCCTTTTTTGCGCGAGGGTATTCAACCCCTAAGCTTATAACCCCTCATCTCCCTCTAAACAGCAGCAGGCTAGCCCTCTTCATCTTTGGCTGTGTGGCGGTGGAGCTCATCACTCACGACAATGACTTGAACAACCTCGACGACAGAGTTTTCAAGGGGACTTGTGTTGGGGCTTAGGTTTAGGGTTTATGGTTTAGGGTTTAGCCATGCCCTAAGACCCTTAGCCCAGAAAAAAGATTGAATGTCCTAGGGCCGTGTAGCCCTAAGCCAAGTTCATCGTGATTTCTGTTCGACACTTCCTTGAATAGATTTGCCGAGCCAAAAGAATCCTAAACCCGAAACCCTAAACCCTAAGCCCCTCCCCGAATCCTGGTCATGTCAGGAGACGCGCGACATCATCTTCAGACATTTCCCCAACTTGTTTACATCCATCTTGACGTTGCTGCAGTCCCTCAGAGTGGATTGAGAGGTTTAGGGTTTGGGGGTGTAGGGACCCTAAACCCCAAACCCTAAACCCTAAACCCTTTGAGGGCTTAGGGTTGGAGACTGGTATGAGGGTGTGCGGTGCTTCCTTGCCGTAAAAACATCTCGGTAGCGATACTCCTTTTGCTCGGGCTCGGGGGCCTTCTAAACTATTAAGGAAGAGACCTTGCGGGTGAGACAAAACCAGTTACAACCTAGGACCCAGTATCCTGTAATCTATGTGTTCCCCACATTTTCTGTATTTTGCATTTTCGTCAAATTCTAGCTATTCTGTATACATATATGTGTATATATATATATATTTACATATATACACATAGAATGGTAAACCCTAAACCTGAAACTCTAAAGCCTAGACGACCTGAACCCTCACCTGCAACCCTCAATCTAAACCCTAGACGCCCCAATCCTTAACCCTCAAGCCTAAACCCTAAATCCTACACCCTAAACACTAAACCCTAAACCCTAAATCCTAAATCCTAAATCCTAAACCCTAAACCCTAAGCCCTAAACCCGAAACCCAAGCCCTTGGGGTTTGCTCTTACATGGCACAATTAGGTTCGTGACCTTGGATTCCATCGCGGCGGTCTACTACCCGTTGATTGTGCACAAGCCCTTGCTGCGCCTAGGTTTGGGGAGGGTTTAGGGTTTAGGGTTTAGGGATTAGGGTTTAGGGTTTAGGGTTTAGGGTTTAGGGTCTAAGGTTGATGGTTGAGGGTGAAGGGTTGAGGGTTTGGAGGGGAGAGCGGCTAGAGTTTCACCAAAAACCGTAAGCCCCAATATCTACACACCCCAAGAACCCAAGAGCGCTGCCTCCAAACCCTAAACCCTGAACCCTAAACCCTAAACCCTGAACCCTAAACCCTAAACCCTAAACCCTAAACCCTAAACCCTAAACCCTAAACCCTAAACCCTGAACCCTGAACCCTGAAACCCTAAACCGGCTGCACCGAGGATTATATACTTCGTTCCCATCATGGTGATCGTGTCGATCGGCCTCATGAACCTCGTGGCTTCGTGGCAAGTAGGGACCAGGGGTGTTGAACTGGACACGTTTAGGGTTTAGGGTTTAGGGTTTAGGGTTTAGGGTTTAGGGTTTAGGGTTTAGGGTTTAGGGCCCTTTCGGGGTTCTCGTGCTATGGGAATCTTACTCTTCGAAGTACTGGTTGCGGAGATCCTATATCAAGCGTTCCCCAGTTAGGGTGGCGGATTGCCGCTAGGGTTTAGGGTTTAGGGTTTAGGGTTTAGGGTTTAGGGTTTAGGGTTTAGGGTTTAGGGTTTAGGGTTTAGGGTTTAGGGTTTAGGGTTTAGGGTTTAGGGTTTAGGGTTTAGGGTTTAGGGTTCTTCCAACCATGAACCTTAAACTAGGACCCGGTGTAGGCCCTTACTCCCTTTTTTTCGGTTTGGGGTTCCCTTCTGACCCCCTTAAAACCAGAAAGGGTACCCTTTTTAGACCTAGGTTACTCCTGGGTCTTGTAAATTTCTTGAAGCCCAAACGAGGGTCTAGGGTTTAAAGTTTAGGGATTGATTAGTCTGTCTTAGGGTTAAGGGCTTAGAGTTTAGGGGTTTAGGGTTTCAGGTTTCGGGCACGATCTGGTCCAAAATGCGAACAGGCTTTAAGCAAGAGCCAATGCTCCGGCTGGCGCATCGGCACACGGCTAATTATTTGGACACTAAGCCCTGTAAATCGTATCAGCCATGCAAACCGATAGGCATCTATTTAGGGGTTTAGGGTTTAGGGTTTAGGGTTTAGGATTTGGGGCTTAGGGTTTAGGGTTTAGGCTTTAGGGTTTAGGGCTTAAGGTTTAGGGTCTAGGGTCACTTTCGTAACCTCCTCCTACATATGGAGAAACCAGCTCAACTTCCGATTCGAGGCTCTTTACCCACAAGCCTTCCACAATAGCAAGGGCCATATACCTTAAAACCCTAAACCCTAAACCCTAAACCCCAAACCCTGTGTCCTTGAGCCCGAGACGCGATGTCAACGACACCGACAGGTAACTGCTGTGCTAGTCGAAAACGCGCTCGAGAATGCCGCCGCGGAGGCAGAGGCGGAGCGCTTGAACTTGAAGAAGAAGATCAAGGCAGGTGTCACGAATCAGGGTTTAGGGTTTAGGGTTTAGGGTTTAGGGTTTAGGGTTTGGGGCTTAGGGCTTAGGGCTTAGGGCTTAGGGCTTAGGGTTTAGGGCTCAGGCAGATCGAGGCAGGTGACACGAATCAGGGGTTGAAGGTGTAGCATTGCTGTGGATAGTGACCACAAGACCGCCTTTGCACACTTGGGCACCGTTTGGTCCTAATGGTTGCGCAGAATCTGTTTGTTCGGGGCTAGCCCTCCGAAAACCTTGAACAAATCCCTGAAACCCTCCTTGCGTGCATGTAACTGTTCTACCCTAAACCCCTAAACCCTAAACCCCAAACCCCCAGTTGAGCGTGGCTCCTCCCAGGAGGCGTTGCCGATGCTCCTCACGAAGTTCGAAGATCTGGACGAGGACGGCAGCAGCTTGCTCGCCCATGCAGGTTTGGGGGGCTTAGGGTTTAGGGTGTAGGGTTTAGGGTGCCGGGTTTAGGGTTCAGGGTGTGGGGTTCAGGGTTTAGGGTGCAGGGTCTGAGGTTCAGGGTCTAGGGTTCAAGGTTTAGGGTTGAAGGTTTAGGGTGTAGGGTTGAGGTTTCAGGGTCTAGGGGTTCAGGGTGAGAGGGGCACCCTTTTTTCAGACAAGTCGTTCTGAGGCTAAGCCAGGATGTCGAAAGAGTACCCTTCTTCCTTTGTTTGGGGGGCTGGTTCTCTCTTAAACCGTGTTTAGGGTTTAGGGTTTAGGATTTAGGACTTAGGGTTTAGGCTCAGCAAGAGACAAGAGCCTTCTTCCTGGCACCCCTGCACCCGGCATCCCTCAAACCGTAAAACCCTAAACCCTAAACCCGGATACATTTTTAAAACCCCCTGACCATCAACCCAAAATGGTACGTGTGTGCGTGTGCGTGTGCGTGTGTGTGTGACCACCTTGAAAGATACCTTAAGAGCCCAAACCCTACTTCTTTGTAGGTTCCCGAAGAATCCGATAAGGGTTTTCAAATTCTAAGAGCCTACAAAAAAAGTAGGTTCTAGCTTCTTAGTGTATAGACTGTACCTGTTATAGTATGTAGTGTATACTAGGGCTTTCAAGGAGTTCCGAATAGAGGTTCGAAAGCAGATCTGATCCGCAGCACAGCTGATCGGCTTTACTGAGAGATAGCACCCGCATCTGATTTCGCTGGATTCTGTGGGGTTTAGGGTTTAGGATTTCGGGTTTAGGGTTTCGGGTTTAGGGTTTAGGGTTTAGGGTTTAGGGTTTAGGGTTTGAGATTGCGGGAGCACTGCCAACGAAGACCCCCACAGCGGTCTCGGGTCAAGGGGAGACTTCCCGGGCCCGTCCCTGCTTGTCAAAGTGACCCTGAAGCCTTAACCCTAAACGCTAACACGGTTTAGGGTTTAGGGTTTAGGGTTTAGGGTTTAGGGTTTAGGGTAACCCTTAAACCCTGAACCTCAAGATGTCATAGCCCTGGCGTGCTCAGGTGGATACATTTCCCGGGATGAGATCGAAGGCGTGCCTCTCAGCGTGCTTCCGCCGAAGCTCCTGGAGAACGTGTCCATAGACGCTCGAGAGGGTTTACGGCTTAGGGTTTTTGTTAGGCTTGAGGTGGCTTCTGGGGGTTTAGGGTTTAGGCGGTTTAGGGTTTAGGGTTTAGCGTTTAGGGTTTAGAGTTTAGGGTTTAGGATTCCCTTGGCCCGAAACCCCAAACTACCTAAACCACCCTGAATACCCTGAACCTTTAGACCCTCAAAACGGGCGGAGAAGCGTCAGGACGGCGCTCCTAAAATCCCCAATGCGGTATCGACTTCACTGGGCCTTTGCACATGCCATGACCCTGGAGAGCTTTGGGTGCTGAAAGAATACTAGGGAGTAGGCCCTTCTTCCCTTTTTGGGGTGGTTTGGGGTCCCTGATAAAACCCATTTGCACCAAAAAGGGTACCCTGTTCATTCCTAGGTTTCTCTTCGGTCTAGAAGATGACCGAAGCCGAATCCCTAAGCCCTAAGCCCTAAGCCCTAAGCCCTAAGCCCTAAGCCCTAAGCCCTAAGCCCTAAGCCCTAAGCCCTAAGCCCTAAGCCCTAAGCCCTAGACCTTGTGCCCTCAACGCCCCCAACGCCCGATGGCCTTACTAAACCCTAAACCCGAACCGTAAATCCCAAACCCTAAGCCCTAAACCCTAAACCCTAAACCCTAAACTCTAGACCGTAAACCCCAAACCCTAAACCTAAACCCTAATCCCTACACCCTAAACCCTAAACCCAGGACAGCATGGTTGACCTCTTCGAACTCCTGGATGTGGATGGTGGGGGTCAGCTGACGCAGCATGAATTTGTGGAGGGCTTGCTGACTCTCGGATGTGGTAAAGCTTTGGAGTTTGGGGTTTGGGGTTTAGGGTTTAGGGTATACTAACAGTCCTTAATCAGGATTTTTTGGGGGATACTGCAATCCCTATTAAAGCCTGTTAGTGTAAGGGGGAACATCCCAAGAGTCAAACTCCTAACGCCCAAAAGGCCTACAAATCCTACAAGGCCTCTACAAGGCCCCCAAGCCCGGACTTGTGAAATGGTGGACCCAAAAGGCACTGAAATCCCAGGGCTGCTACAAGTAGCCCTAAATCCTAAGCCCTAAGCCCTAAAGCCTAAACCCTAAGCTTCATGAACCCTAATCATCATGAACCCTCGTCCCCAGAACTAGACCTGAGGACGCTGAACGTAAACCCTGGACCCCTAAACCCGAAACCCCTAAACGGGCGAGGGCGCCGCCGCTGACCACTAACATGGGTACTGTCAAGGTAAAGCAAAACAGGATAAATGCAGGTCAACAGAGCAGCAAAAAACCCTAAACCCTAAACCCTACACCCCGAACCCTAAACCCTAAAACACTTGGTAAACAACCCGGGGGGAGTAGAGAAAGGGGGGAGAGGGGCAGGGCAGGCGGCAGGCATCCTGCAAACACTTGCAAGGAAAAGCTTGACCCAAGAACAGGACGAGGCGATTGGGGGGAGCTAGAAGGGAAGAGAATAAGGCAGGATATGGGGGGGGAACAGCTCATTGGAGGGTTGGGGGCTGGTGGCTGGCCCCCAAAACCGCAGAAGAAACCTACAACCGCTGCAAAAGCGTACGGACCCTTCCAGAAGGCCTCAAAACCCCCCCGCCCGCACAAAAACCCATCAAACAGCTCAGCGTTTGAGGGTCTAGGGTTTGAGGTTTGAGGGGTTTAGGGTTTGAGGGGTCTAGGGTTTCGGGTTTAGGGTTCAGGGAAAATTTGCTTGTCCCAAAGCCTACGACCCTAAAAATTCTGCCGATGGCCAGAACTGAAGCCCGTCCACGAAGACAGCATGTTGGCGCGCCTTTTTCGAATATCGCGCCTTATATTTAGAGTTTAGGGTTTAGGGCTCTTTTGAGAACTGCCCTCCTACAGCTTGCAGTTACAGACAAACCTGCAACCCTAAACCCTAAACTCTAAACCCTAAACCCCTAAACCCTAAACCCTAAACCCTAAACCCTAAACCCTAAACCCTAAACCCTAAACCCTAAACCCTAAACCCTAAACCCTAAACCCTAAACCCTAAACCCTAAACCCCTAACCCAACACCTGACCTTCCCACAAGGAACCTGGTGCTGATGGACATTCCCATCCCAACAGTCCAGTCCCTCCGGCTACTGCGGTCCATCAAGTTGATAACCTCGACGTTGAGTGAGGCCGGGCTATCTGGGTTTAGGGTTTAGGGTTTAGGGTTTAGGGTTTAGGGCTTAGGGCTTAGGGCTTAGGGTTTAGGGTTGTTCAGGGTTCCGGCTTTCGGGTTTAGGATTTAGAGGGTTTGGGGTACACCCCCCCCCCCCCCCCCCCCCCAAATGCAATGCTAAACCCTGAACCTGTAGACGCTGTACAAGCTGGGAGCCTAGTAAGCCGTGAATCCTGGATCCTTGATCCTGCGCCTGAAGTAGTAGGTTTAGGGTTCAGGGTTTAGGGTTTAGGGTTTAGGGTTTAGGGTTTAGGGTTCAGGGTTTAGGGTTCAGGGTTTAGGGCTTAGGGTTTAGGTTCCTGCAACCCAAAACCCTCAAACCTAGAAACCTTGTATGCCCCAAACCAAGCCTCGACGCTAAACCGCATGAATCCTGAAAATCCCAAGCCCGAAAAGTCCGAAAAGCCCTCTACCCTAAACCCTCAAAGCTTTAAATTCCTAAACCCGAAACCCTGAACCCAACCCTTTCTGGACTGAAAATAGACCAGGGAGTCTGGCCCTAGCGTTGAAACTAGTTGCAGTTGTCTAAGAGAAGTTCCATGGTCCCTGAATGTGTTAGGGTTTTAGGGCTTTCGGGTTTTGTAGGGTCTTATAGGGATGTGTTTCTAGGGCATGCAAGGGTTAGAAGTTGAGGCTTTGCGGGGTTTAGGGTGCAGAGGGTTTAGGCTTTGGAGGGTTTGTGGGGTTTGGGTACTGGGCTTAATTAATGTGGCAATGAACACGGACCCCCCCCCCCCCCCCCCCCCCCCCCAAACAAATCTGGGCCCAGAAATGGACCCCCCAAACAAATTCAGGGGGGGGGCCATCGTAAAGCCCCAGACCCTGCCCAAGGCCCTCAGACCCTCAAGCCTTTGGGACCTTAAGGCCTGAAGCTTTCCTGCCTTGCTAAGGACCCCCCCCCTCCCCCGCCGGGCCTGTGTATTTTTCAACCCTAAACCCTAAACCCTAAACCCTAAACGCTAGGTGATGCAAAAAAATTATTAGAGTGAACCGCGCTGGCCCGTGGACTACCACCTATCACGAAATTTGTTGGGGTCGTTTCGTAGTGAAGTTCAATAACCCTAAACCCTAAAACCCTAAAACCCTAAAACCCTAGAACCCTAAGACCCTAAGACCCTAAAACCCTACAACCCATATGGCTTTAGATGGAACCGGGCCGGGCTTTGCTTCCCGGATTCTCCGGGCTCTGGCTCTTTGAGATTCCTGGAGCCCAAGGCCCTCAGGGCCTCAAGCCTTATTGCTTAAGACTTAAGCCCTCCCTAAACACAAAGCCTTAAGGGAAAACAACCATCCGGAAAAAACACAAAAAGCATCTTGTGATAATAGTGGGTGGCCCCAACGCATGAATTCGGCTTGTGATTATGGACCCTAGAAATGTTGAAGCTACAACATCAGGGCTTAGCATCAGGTTCCACGGCAACCCTAAACTCTAAACCCTAAACCACTTGGGCTTAACGCTCATGATGGGCTTGAGTTGATTCTTCGATCCCGAAAAGACTTCTGAGCAAGATTGGACTTCGTGGCAGAACTCGAACGCCGGAACGCTAAACCCCAAACCCCAAACCCCAAACCCTAAACCCTAAACCCTAAAACCTAAACCCTAAACCCTAAACCCTAAACCCTAAACCCTAAACCCTAAACCCTAAACCCTAAACCCTAAACCCTAAACCCTAAACCCTAAACCCTAAACCCTAAACCCTAAACCCTAAACCCTAAACCCTCCCCCTCCGTCATGGAGGACCTCCAACAGCTCAACACGACACTCCTGGAGCACATGGGACATCCTGTGCATTTGTGAGTCTAAGGGTTTAGGGTTTAGGGTTTAGGGTTTAGGGTTTAGGGTTTAGGGTTTAGGGTTTAGGGTTTAGGGTTTAGCCGGGTCCAAACCCCTGCAGGGTTTGGAATTTAGATTTAGAGCAAGCTGCTCTTCGCCATGCCCCCCTCCGCAGACTGGGCTCAACACAGCCCAGGTTTAGGGTTATGGGGTTTAGGGTTTAGGTTTTAGGGTTTAGGGTTTTGGGTTTAGGGTTCAAGGTTTTTTTAAGAACCCTAAACCCTAAACCCTCTACTCCCGTGATATGGCAGCCTGAACCCTGAACCCTAAACCCTAAACCCTAAGCCTTTACCCTTATGTTCTGCTCGACGGGTCAGTTCTGCGAGAAGGGCTTGGCAAGGAGGCTTTTGGAGCAAAGCTCCCAGTAAGCTTGCAAGGTGTCGCGACTGGGTTTAGGGTTCAGGGTTTTAGGGTGTAGGGTTTATGGTTTAAGGTTGAAGGAAAACCAATGAACCGAGGTGTCACCCACGCCCCGCGCGGCAAACCTGTGTTTCACCTCCAAGCGGTGGGGGGCCACTCTCAATCATGGGCCCCTGTGGTTCCCCCAAAGCTTGCACCCCCAAACCCTGAACCCAAACCCTAAACCCTAAACCCTAAACCCCAAACCCTAAACCCGAGCTACATGGAATATACTCTGAATGGCTTGCCCCAACAACATGGTCCAGAGTTTAGATCAACGCACCATGCCACCAGGGCTGAGCAAGAGGGTTCACTATATCCTATTACAATGTGGCCCTTTATATCTAGGATGCCCCAAACAACCGCAACGGCGGACAACTGAGCATATGAACCCGCTGCATAAACCCTAAACCCTAAGCCCTAAACCCTAAACCCTAAACCTTAAACCCTAAACCCTAAACCCTAAACCCTAAACCCTAAACCCTAAACCCTAAACCCTAAACCCTAAACCCTAAACCCTAAACCCTAAACCTCACCTAACATGGGAGCTCAGGAAGCCCAGGAGCCATGCACGTACCCAGAGACGCCACAACACCCCTTAATTTTTCGGAAGCTTCCTGAAACTATGTAAGGGTTTAGGGTTTAGGGTTTAGGGTTTAGGGTTTAGGATTTAGGCTTCCTGAAACTATGTTCTGACTTAAGTAAAGGGTTTAGGGTTTAGGGTTTAGGATTTAGGGTTTAGGGTTTAGGATGCTTCCTGAAACTATGTTCTGACTTGGGCATTTGTTTGATTTTCTTTGGGCTGGGGGGGTGGGGGGGGGGGTGGGAGGGTTTGGGGTTTAGGAATTTGTGTTTGGGGTGTCCTTATGAACGGGGAATTTTGAAGGGGGAACACTTTCTACTTGTAGGGAAATCGCTTAATCTCTTCCTTAATTAAGGGGTGTCGGAGACTCTTGGGTAGCTGAGGCAGCGCCGTGTTGAGGTCGCGAGAGTTTATCCACAGTTGGGCCTCTCTTCCCTAAACCCTAAACCCTAAACCCTAAACCCTAAACCCTAAGCCCTAAGCCCTAAGCCCTAAACCCTAAACCCTAAACCCTAAACCCTAAACCCTAAACCCTAAACCCTAAACCCTAAACCTAAACCGAAAACCCTAAAGCCTAACTTAGGGAAGCCGAAGGTGCCTCGAGTCAGCTTCCTTGTGCGATACTCTGGTTTAAGGTTTGCGGTTTTGGGGTTTAGGGTTTAGGGTTTAGGGTTTAGGGTTTAGGGTGTAGGGTCTAGTGTTTAGTGTTTGGGGTTTAGGGTTTAGGGTTAGGGTACCATATACCGAAGTAGCCCCTTCCGTACCTCCAAGGTGCCTTCTTAGG